GATCACTAAAAACCTGCCATTGACTCATTTGTTCAAGTCTTAGGAAGAGAAATGGTTGAATATATATATAAATATATATATATATAGCTTTTCTTTAGGTAGCGTTCAAAATAAGGTGAATTGGTTAATTTTGTTTTGGTAGATAAGTAAACGCGTATACGCTTTACATTACTCGAATACGTGTACTTATGGACATATTTTAACTCGAACGCATGCTCTTACGTTATTATTTTTAGCCGACCTCGAACACCTAACGCCTCTTTTGAAAAAGAGAAAATATCATTTAGACTAAGCAATTATAGATGCATAACAAAACGTCCTAAAAAAATATCTCTAAAAATTTATGAAGATAGAATTATATCTCATCAAGAGAATCGGTGGTTTACTATCAATCACAAATTTTATATTGAACGCAATATTCATATTAAAAAAATATAATTAAGGATTACTTTATCAACAATTTATACAGCAATTTATTAACTATCATTTTAAAATAAGAAAATGTTAGTGTCAATGTATCGATTATCAATCATTTGATAAGGTTCGGAAAAAAAAAAAAAAATCATTTGCTAAGGTGAGTTTTATTATGAAACCCACATCATATATTCAGTGATTGAAATAATTAGGTATAAAAAAGAAAAAAAGTAATTGAAATCATATTCCTCTTTAAATTAAAAAGAAAAAGAAAAAGAAAAAGAAAAATACTACAACACATAGAAGGTATTGAGTGAAAGCGAGTTGGATGTGAAGTGTAGAGATACTCATCCAATCATAATAATTATCAAAAAAAGATGGCAGACTAAGTCAATTTTCAATGTCATTCTTATTTATACAACTATTTTCCATTTTCAATGTATTGCACTATTGTATTCAAAAGAATAATATATGTTTCATTTTCAACTATTTACAGTACTATTGTTTGCAAAACAATTGACCCTTTATTTTCTCTCTTTAAAATTGTACTTAAAGGTCAACTTTTGGAGTGAAAGTTCTTGTTTCTAACCAATATTAATAAAAAAAAATTTAAATGACTTCAGTGTGACCTACTAATGATGATTGATGGCTCACAATAGAATATTACTTGTGAATAAAATAAATGTTTTAAAAAAAATTGACATTAGCCCTCTAAAAAATGCCTTGGTCACTACTTTTCGTTTGATATTTGATTTAATTAAGAAGTAGAATTACAGATAAAAAATTTATTTTTCTTCGAGATCCAATATTACATATCCCTGAAAATTAAATTCAAAGAAGTCAATATTCATAAGCTTTTCTATATATACTTACAGTATGACTTGAGAGTGTGATCTACAACGAATAATCGTGGTTAAAATACGTCGTCGTTTGAATAAATAAATTAAGTTTTCTATTCAACTTATACACTCATTTTTTGCTCTAGCTTATACCAACCATCAATTTTAAAATGTGAAAAATACCACTAGATTCCCATTCATGGTAGCTTATTTAAATGAACTTGTTTTCTACGAAAATATATAATCTAAAAACTATGTACTGTATAACATATATTTATTTTATATATATAGAGAGAGAGAGTACTTGCCAATGATAGCGGTGATGCCGTGATGGTGAAGGGAGAGCAAAGGTGGTGGCATGCAAAACACCTTCATTATTCTGTCCTCACTCTTCTCCCACCAACCTCTTCGCTTCTTTTTCTCTCTCTCTAAAAAAAACGAAAGAAAAACTCTCTCTCTTCCGAGCATCCTCTTTTCTCTCCTTTGCCATTTTCGTAAATTTTGTATTTTGTTTGGATTTTCCATTTCCTAACTAGGCATGACATAAATGGTATGCCAAATACCCTAATTTTCTCAATTACTCAGCTTTTTTTTTTTTTTTTTTTTTCTCGAAAATAAGGAGGAGATGGAACTTGGGTATATTCGTTGGGAGAGTTCGACGTTTTACCAACTAAGTTATTGAGTAATGTCTCTCAAATTACTCACCCTAATTTTTTTTTTTTTTTTTTGAAAATAAGGAGACGGGACTTGGGTATATTCGTTGGGAGAGTTGGACGTTTTTCCAACTAAGTTACTGAATAATGTTCCTCAAATTACTCACACATTTTTTTTTTTTTTTTTTTTTTGGCTCTCTCTCGAAAATAAGGAGGAGACGGGACTTGGGTAAATTCGTTGGGAGAATTGGACGTTCTACCAACTAAGCTACTGAATAATATTCCTCAAATTACTCAAATTTTATTTTATTTTTATTTTTATTTTTATTTTTTTTTGCTCTTGAAAATAAGGAGGAGACGGGACTTTGGTATATTCGTTGGGATAGTTGGACGTTCTATCAACTAAGCTATTGAGTAATGTTCCTCAAATTATCCACTTTTTTTTTTTTTTTTTTTCCCTCTCGGAAGAGATGGGACTTAGGTATATTCGTTAGGAGAGTTCGACATTCTACCAACTAAACTATTGAGTAATGTCCCTCAAATTACTCACTTCATATTAAATTTACAGCCAAAATAGTTATTTTATTGTAGACCTAAAAACGTCTTGTATTACATGATAAGTCCGACAACACTTGGCACTAGTATTTCTAGTGCTTGCTAAATCTACAAAACAATTCAAGCATATGTTTTTATTAATTTCTTTTTCTAAAAAGACGCCTTATACTTCATATATAAGTAGGCATATCAAATTTTTTCCAAATTTGAAGTTGGGTCGTTGAATTCAATTCAAATAGGTGGTTAGAATAATTTGAGGTACACATCCTTCAAATTTATTGGCTAAGACAATATCAAGTCATTGCTTTTGAAAACTATATTTTCTTCTTCTTTTAATATCTTGACAAATAGCCCACGCAAGATTAATTTGGTGTTTTTAAATATTAATACAAGTTAGAATATATTATGGATTATGTACCACAAATTATGACAAATTAAAAAGGATATAACAATATTATTCACCAATTACCTCGACTTCGACCACTACTTGCAAGCTTATTTGGATTTGGAATCTATTTATATTTTAACTATATATTTAAATATATAGAATAAGGTTGGAGACTTAGTATCTTACATGCGAAGAAACTTGGGTGATGATTAGGATAGGTTTTTGGAGACTTAGTATCTTACATGCGAAGAAACTTGGGTGATGATTAGGATAGGTTTTTGGTTTGGATTGTTTGAAAAGTGGTAACACTCTTAAAAAAAAAAAAGAAAAAAAAAAGAAGAAAAGCCTTGAATCCAATTTGACATTTGGATATGTATTTCTAACATTGTACCAAAAGAAGCAATCAATGTACTAAACTCTTCTTGAACTGTTAAGTGTGAGAGCACAAAAGCTACAAAATTTAAGTTTTGATAGATTATGTGATCTAGTTAGAAAAAAAGAAAAAAGAATTATGTAACTTTGCTCAAAATTCATAGCGAAGAACAACGGGGAGAGAGTCATGTGTACTGACTTTGCATTTTACTTTTCTTTTTCTTTTTGGTTTTTTTATCAATGTATTATGTACTAAATTAGAACTTAAAATAAATCTAAATTAAATAACAAAAACCCAAAGTTTAAAGTAATGCGATCAAAAGAGCCTCTCACAACAAAAATAATGAGCTCTCCATTCTTAACTACTAGTACTAAATTCAACATTAAACAGACTTTCAGAGCGGCGTTGGTAGGAATTCAAGAGTTAAGTCCTTAATGTTGTGTTTGGTGTGCATGAATAGAATAGAATACAAGTAGAAATGGAATAAAATGATCATTCTAATTCTATTATTTGGTTGTAAATATACATGAAATGTACAACAATAGAATGATAATAACCATTTTAGTGTCTGGTTGGATCAATTTAAAATTTAGAATGCAATAAATTTCAAATTGAGTTCTCCAAAATATCTCTCTTAGTGACAAATAAATTAAATTAACAAAATGATATTCTTCTATAATTTTAAAAAAATAAATGGTGGCAGTGACGATGGTGGTGCAGGTGGAAAGCGGTAGTGGTGTAGGTGGTGGTGTTAGAAGGCAGTGGTGGTAGAAGGCGGTGACGGTGGTGGTGGTGGAAGGCGGTGACGGTGGCGGTGGTGGAAGGCGGTGGCGGTGGTGGAAGGCAATAATAGAAGGTGGTGGCGGTGAAAGGCGGTGGCGGTGACGGTGGTGATAGAAGGTGGTGGCAGTAGCGGTGGTGAAATGCAGTGGCGGTGGCGATGGTGGTGGAGAAAGGCAGTAGCGGTGGTGGCAGTGGAGAAAAACAGTGGTGGTGGTAGTGGAAGGTAACGGTGGTGGTTGTTGTGAAAGGTGGTGGCAATTGTGGTGGAAGGTGGTGGCAGTGGTGAAAGGCGATGGCAATGGTGGTGGTAGTGGTTACGGCAAAGAAAGACAGTGTCGGTGGTGAAAGGCGGTGACAGTGGTGGTGGTGAAAAGCAATGGGCGATGGTGAAAGTCGGTGGCGATGGTGGTGGAAGGCGGTGGTAGTGGTGGTGAAAGACGGAGGTGATTGTGGTAAAAAGGTAGTGGTGGTTTTTAGACTTGAAATATGAGGGTTTTTTGGGAAGTTGATTTTTTTTTTTTAAAATTTACTTGGCAATGGAATGGTCATTGCATAAGTTTAGTTGTGGAATGAATTTTCATTTTCATTTTAAATTACATACCAAATAAAAGAATAGTTGGAATAGGTATTCTATTCCTGCACACCAAATATAACATAAGATCTCGCTTTCAAATCATACTCTTAACTTAACTTAAATGGTACATATATTATGGGCCGGTATATCATAGTGTGCACTGATTTTTGGAGTGCTCTAAGAAAAAAACATAAAAAATAAAATAAACATTAAACAACGTGTTAAAGGCTTTCTTTTACACTTTTTAAAATCCGTGTGGCGCCTGACTTGTAGGGGTAATTTTGTCCAATAACAGGTGCCGTCAAAAAAGTGACAACACGCGCTTGAAAGGGAGAGTGGATATGGATTTTCTCGTCTCTGACCCGAGAGACATTACAGAGGGAATGAGTAGCTTTAAGTCCACAACACTGTGGTCTGAAATGAAAGGTGCCCAAAAAACACAACGAGTGTGACAAAGCCTGCAATTGAACGCCCCAAAATTGGTCTCCTCTCCCTTCTGTCTGGTATTTGGGGTCTTCTCTGCAACTATTCCACTACCCCTCTCTCCTCCTATATACATACATACATACATACATAATTCACACATACATAACTCACACATACACACATACATAATTCACACGCACGCATATCTCTCTATACATATACCAGTGTAGTCTACATATCTATTACCTCCTCTTCACTTCTGCATATTTGAATTTTTTTTTCATTTTCCCTTCTCTCTCTCTATATATTTTCTGAGATATATATATATATATATATATATATATAGGGAAAGTTGTGTACTATGCTCCTGAAGACCGTTCAATATATGGTTTCGTAGACGTCTGATCTCGCGATCCGATAATGGAAGATCTATGTTTCGTGTTTGATGCTGCTGCGTGCTACTGAGGGAAGAAGACGACAGCGTTTCCGTCTAATTTAAGGTACTGCAGTGGTGTGTCCCCTGCCTCCCCCACTCTCTCTCTCTCTATATATATATCTCTTTGAACATTCAATGCTTCAGACACAAGCTTCACAAAAATTAATAGTATAATATATATATTATGTCTGTATAGATACATACTTCTGTGTGTGTGTGTGTGTATATATATATATGTACACACACGAAGGCAGTTTCTTGATATATGATGGAGATGGTGGTTGATTTGAATTTATTGTTTTTAGCATTTGATGCAAAGTTGTCACCTTTGTGCATTGTAAGCGTTTGAATAATATATCAAAAGAAAAGAATTGCTTAGTTTGATAGTAGGAATTGCAGATTTGGCCTTTTAACCTTCTTCTCTAATTTGGAGAGAGGTTGAATTTTTGGTAGATAGGAAGAGAATTGCTTGTTTTGATTGTAGGAATTGCAGACTAGGGTTTGGTTAGTCTGAGCTGGTTATTGCTTAATCACCAAAAAGAAAAGAAGGGTTTTTGTTTGGTTTCAGAGAAAATTGAGTTTTTGTCGTGATTTTGGTTTTTGAAGTGATGATGGCGGTAAATTCGGCCTGCAAGGATGACAACGGCAAGTATGTCCGGTACACTCCGGAGCAGGTTGAAGCCCTCGAGAGGCTCTATCACGAATGCCCGAAGCCGAGTTCCTTACGCCGACAACAGTTGATTCGTGAATGCCCAATTCTCTCCAACATCGAGCCAAAGCAAATCAAAGTTTGGTTTCAGAATCGAAGGTATTGTGGTGAATGAATTGGGGTTAGATAAAGTTCTCGCCTTTTAGGCATCTTTTTAGTGTTGTTCTGGAAATACAAATGTTGAAATGCTTACTAATTATCTGATATGTGTTTTTTGTTTAACCAGGTGCAGAGAGAAGCAGCGGAAAGAGGCATCGCGCCTCCAAGCTGTGAATAGGAAGTTGACGGCTATGAATAAGCTGTTAATGGAGGAAAATGATAGACTGCAGAAGCAAGTGTCTCAGTTGGTGTATGAGAATAGCTACTTTCGCCAACAGACTCAAAATGTATAGAATTATTCTTCCTTTGCTTTTTTAGTTCTACCAAATGCTAAGAAAACAAACATAGAAAAAGAAAAGAATTGGGAATTTTGAGTCTGAAGTTTTCATTCAGTTGGGATTGGAGAAAACATAAATACATGGTCAACTAGACTACAACAAATATTTGGTTTAGTCGAGCCGAGAGCTTTTGTTTAAAATTAAAATTGTGTGTGATTTTTCTTTTCCTCAGTTTTCTTGGCTGCCCAATGGATGGGAGTGAAATTTGCAATCCAGTTTAATTGACAACGCCACCATTTTCTGTTTATGTTTCTTGAACAGTTGGTATTGTAAACTGATATTTTCGTGTTGCAGGCAACCCTTGCCACCACAGACGCAAGTTGTGACTCGGTGGTGACAAGCAATCAGCATCATTTGACTCCTCCGCATCCGCCAAGGGATGCAAGTCCTGCAGGGTTAGTGAAAATGCTTCTTGTTCTTGTTGGGTTCATTGCAGATTTTGTTATTTACAGTTACTTTGTTCCCCACAGCTTATGAGATTGTTTTTGTATGCTTTCCAGACTTTTGTCCATTGCAGAGGAGACTTTAACAGAGTTTCTTTCGAAGGCCACTGGAACCGCTGTGGAGTGGGTCCAAATGCCTGGGATGAAGGTTACCACCTTCCTTAGTGTGTCAATTTTATATTGTGTTAAACGTTACTGGCTTAATCAATACATCTTCTTTATATTATTATCTATAGACACTATTAAAAAAACCAAGAACCTTGCTAATCTTCTAAGCAACACCTAAATCGCACCATCATCCCACATTCTCACTTTTTTAATTGATAAATTCCTTTTTGTCCTATTATTCTTTTCTTCTTTTTCTTTTCATATCTTTTCTACTTTTCTTTAAGAAGACTAGAGAATGTTTTTCATTATTTTATTTGTTCTTTTCCGAACCTTCTTTTGGGAAATAAGGTTAGATTCATTGCGAATTTTTGCTTAATAAATGGATTATAACATTTTTTACTTTCCCATAAACTTCAACTTTGTTGTACAATTTCTATTTTCCCGGGGGAAAAAAGTGAATTTTTTGGTGTGCCCCCAAAGGATTTCTTTTGTTTTACTCCTTAAGAGCATGGAAGGGGATTTACTAATTATTTCATATCTCATTGTTTTCTGATATTGTTGTTGTTTTGTGATTTGTTTTTCTGTTCAATACTAATTTCGTACCTTTCCACCTTCTTAAAGAGTATCTTTTTTATCTGTGTGCGCAGCCTGGTCCGGATTCCATTGGAATCATTGCTATTTCTCATGGTTGCCCTGGTGTGGCAGCTCGTGCATGTGGCCTTGTAGGCCTAGAACCTACCAGAGTAAGTCCTTTCTCTTATATATATTTTTTCTTTTTTCTTTTTTGATGAAATTTGGAGCAATATTAATTAATGATGTTCCATTTAGGTTGCAGAAATTCTTAAAGATCGACCTTCATGGTTTCGTGATTGCCGAGCTGTCGATGTTATTAATGCGCTGACCACTGGAAATGGTGGAACTATTGAACTGCTTTACATGCAGGTTGGTGCTATTGTTTTGTGGTGGTTGTGTCTGCTCACATATAAATTATTTGACTTCCTGAACAGACTTCTACACTGTTTACTTGATTTAGCTCTATGCACCTACAACTTTGGCATCAGCTCGTGACTTTTGGTTACTGCGTTATACATCTGTTTTGGAGGATGGTAGCCTTGTGGTATGTATATCCTGACTTCTACTGTTGCGAGTACAAAAATTATATAGAAAAAAAGGTCGAGCTGCTTTCCTGTTATCTTGCCTAAAATACTTTGTATGAAACTTGTGTAATTTTGTTTCACGTATTAGGTCTGTGAAAGGTCCCTGAATAACACACAGAACGGTCCCAGTATGCCACAAGTGCAGCATTTTGTGAGAGCAGAAATGCTGCCAAGTGGGTACCTGATAAGGCCCTGTGATGGGGGTGGTTCAATTATTCATATAGTTGATCATATGAATTTAGAGGTATGTAAGTCAACAACTATTATTTATATCAAAGCAGGAGTTTTGCTATGCTTGGAAAATAACTGTTTTAACTTTCTGCTAAATTCAATCAGCCATGGAGTGTACCCGAAGTGCTGCGCCCGCTATACGAGTCATCAGCATTGCTTGCTCAGAGGACGACAATGGCGGTAAGACTGTCTATCCCACCCTTGTGAATGTTCAAGCACTCATTGTTTTAGTGAGTTGAATTAATATTACTGATTTTTTATTTTTCTATTTTTAACTAGGAAAAAAAAATTATATTACTTATTTTTGCAAGTTGACTGACCTTTTAATTGTAGGATATATATTAAACTGAAATGACTTGTTCCTTTATTGTAGTATCTAGTGGTGCATGATAAGTATTATATAGGGAGGTACTTGTTTCATAATAATATAAAGGGAGTGGTAACTGGAACTCTTGTTCTATGCTCAAATATGACATTGGCCTTTTCATTCAGGCTTTACGCCAGTTGAGGCAGATTTCACATGAGGTTTCTCAGCCAACTGTCACTAGTTGGGGTCGAAGGCCTGCAGCTCTACGTGCACTTTGCCAGAGATTAAGCAAGTAAGTTGTTAGTTCTTGTGTTCCGTTCAGCAGTCACTTGATCTTGATAAATGATCCTGTGTGAAATAATTTATCATGCAGGGGCTTTAATGAAGCTGTTAATGGATTCTCGGATGAGGGATGGTCAATGATTGAAAGTGATGGCGTCGATGATGTTACCCTTCTTGTGAACTCATCTCCTGGCAAAATGATGTGTGGAAATCTTTCTTATGGCAATGGATTTCCATCTGTGTGCAATGCTGTGTTATGTGCCAAAGCTTCCATGCTTTTGCAAGTAAGGCTATTAAATATGTTGCATATTGTTTTCTAATTGTTTCAAAAATATTACAAGAATTTGAAATGCAGAAAGAGTTTCTACCTATGTAGCTTATGACAATGAGACATGATACTTGTTATCTCTATTATTATGCATGTCGGAGGGCAAAAAAAATGTTTGGTTGAGTATATTATTCAGAAGGTTCCAAATCCTAGTCACACTTAATACGAACTTCTCATTAACAGCGAGCCTGAAATGATGAACTGAAGCCAAAACGCAGTGCGTAATCTTCAGCATACTTTTTTGGGGTAAGAGGGAATGAAAGAGAGAAACTGCAATTTAACACTAGCTCCTTGTTTAAATATGATGCCAGCAAGTGTAGTTGGGTTTGTGGAAAGAAAATATGATGGTAACCAGAGATGTGGATCTTGATGGCAGAACCTTTGCAACCAAGATCCAGGAAAACTGAGTTAGCTAATTTGTTGGACATTTCAGTTATAGGCAATATTTAGTTCCAAATATAAAATCCTTCTAGAATACCACTTCATAATAGTCCCATAAAAGAAATTCGGAAGTCATTATTATTTAAATACTGGTTGTACTTTCCTGTTCTGTTTCTCTCTCTTTTTCTTTTAAAGCATCCATCTTTCTTCTATCACCGACTGTTTCTCATTATTCTCTCCTTTGCTATCTTCTTATTTTGGCAGAATGTGCCTCCTGCAGTACTTCTCAGATTCATACGAGAACACCGATCAGAATGGGCAGACAGTGGTATTGATGCCTACTCAGCTGCTGCTGTCAAAGCAGGTCCTTGTAGTTTACCAGTTTCTCGAGCTGGAAGTTTTGGTGGGCAGGTTATTCTTCCATTGGCGCACACTATTGAGCATGAAGAGGCATGTAACTTGGTTATAATTTATGGCTATTAAAAATGTTACTGTCATTTTGGGTTTTATTAACATTGTAGAAAAACATCTGTGGAATGTCCCATTCTGTAATGCTCTGACATATTTATTAATTTCTTTATATCGCATTTCTTCAAAACAGTTCATGGAGGTTATTAAGCTGGAAAATCTTGGCCACTATCAGGAGGACATGATTTTACCCGGAGACATCTTCCTCTTGCAAGTGAGTAGTCTTTCTTCAGGTGATTCATTTAGTTATTATCCTACATACGGTACTTCCCAGTAGATATTTTTCAAAGGATTTCTGGCTGCACTTCTGCTTATCAAAGTCTGATTTTACTGATAACTTGTAATGCACGTCAACTATTTTCTCAAAAAATAAACCGACGGAGGTGATAGACTACCAAAATAATTAATTTCCCAGAATTTCGTTACTGATAACTTGTAATACAAGTGAGTAGTCTTTCTTCAGGTGATTCATTTAGTTATTATCCTACATACGGTACTTCCTAGTAGATATCTTGTGTTCATAAAAGCGTAGCCTCCATTTATACAAATTTCACTTTGTTCTGTTACTCACCAATTTTTTTAAAAAAGTAGTGGTATTTTTCAAAGGATTTCTGGCTGCGCTTCTGCTTATCAAAGTCTGATTTTACTGATAACTTGTAATGCACGTTAACTATTTTCTCAAAAAATAAACCGACGGAGGTGATAGACTACCAAAATAATTAATTTCCCAGAATATTTATTTTTAAGAAAAAATTAAAGTGACTTGCTTCCTGAAATTTGTTCTAGAAAATTAGCCTCTTAATATTTTTGCATTTAACTTTCTTTTTTTCTTTTCTGTATTAATTTTTCTTTTTCTTTTTCTGATCAAGGAGTCAGATGTTAGCGTAAGTTAAATGTGTTCTTGAGTTGGTAAAAAAATATTTAAAAAGTAATGTAACTTGTGGACTAATTGATGCTAATGTGCTTTGATTTTTATCACTTGGCGAGTTAGTCCGTAAATTTTTTAAAAAGAAACTGTAGGCCCCTGTGGTTTCATTCCTTTATTTGTTATATTACTTTGATGTAATTCTAACCTTGTTTTGTCTTTAAGTAACGAAAACGTGTAATTTATAAATATATTCAATGGTTAATTATCTCTTCTCCATTACCTTCATTACCCAGCTCTGTAGTGGAGTGGATGAGAATGCTGTGAACACAACATGTTCAGAACTCATCTTTGCTCCAATTGACGCCTCTTTCTCTGATGATGCACCTCTTCTACCATCTGGTTTCCGCATCATTCCTCTTGATTCTGGGGTGGTAAGTGTTGATCGTGTCTACTATTTATGAAAATATGTTTTGTAGTGAGATCTTGCCTTCCATTCTGTTTGTTGAGTTTTAGTGGATGATATGCAGGATGCCTCCAGCCCAAATCGTACACTTGACCTTGCATCTGCTCTTGAGGTTGGTCCAACTGGAAACAGAGGATCAGGTGATTATTCTAGTCACTGTGGGAGCACAAAATCGGTGATGACAATAGCATTTCAGTTTGCGTTTGAGATCCACCTTCAAGAAAATGTAGCATCCATGGCTCGGCAGTATCTACGCAGTATCATCTCATCAGTTCAGAGGGTGGCATTAGCACTTTCCCCTTCTTCTTTTGGTTCTGGTGCTGGTTTGTTGTCACCACCGGGTACTCCTGAAGCAAACACGCTTGCCCGTTGGATCTGTCATGGTTATAGGTGCGTCACACGAATCATGTATTGTGCGTTTGTATTTATGTCATCAGAAGTAATATACCTAGACCTGATCTTTACCTTACCATGGCATGGTGGATTTGAAGTCCCAACACAAAATTTGATAAGTAGATTTCAATATTAGATGGAGACTGGGAGAAATATATGGTATAATTGCTTGATTTGCATGTTGGTTCGAATGGCCACCATTACCATAACCATTATTTTATTTTTTTCCTGAAACCAGACCTCGAAAGTGTTTTATGGTGCATAATCTTTTAGTTTGTTTCCCTCCTAAAAACTAAAGACATGCCAAATCCAATATGAGAGGACATATAAGATGTTGAACTTAGTTCGTAAGTTTCTTTAAAATCAATTGGTTTGTTTATGAAATATATATTTCTTGTTTGAATTTATATTTTTCACGTGGCTTCAAATCATAAGCTGGCTTCTGGGAGCATATTTAATTAAGTATTATTTATCACTTGGAGGAAAAAAAAATATGTAGTTGCAAACTTAAAAGAGTGAAGTCAAATTCTTGCCCTGCCCATCCATGATCACTCACCACCTGCATTAGATTATAGATGGGAGCTACACATGATCAAAGATGGGTGCCCAACCAATAATGTCTTGCTACACAGATTCTCGAGCACCCTAATTGAACATGTGTGACTTTTGCCAAAACTGCTGACTATATAATCCTTGATCTCAAAACATATCAAATCTAATGATGTTTGTAGAGAAAGTTGAGCACTGGTATTCTGCATCTTCATTGCTGCTTTTGACCTAAGTTAGAAAATAGCTCAGCTTGTTAAGCAGAATATGGTTTTCAACCATCGTATGAAGGCGTCACCTATAACAAAGTTCAGTCCTCTTCAATACAGCTCTATAGTGTGCTAACTATATTTACTGTGGACCTTACCTACTTGGTCCTAATGGAAGACAATTTCTCCAACAAGAATGGTCCAACATAAATGTGGAAATTGCTCTCAATTTTTGAGGATGAAAGTTTCTTTTGATAACCAAATATAGCATCTTCAATCCATGACAAATTATTGAATTCACACCCACCCACTATATTTTTTCCCTACCGGGACTCGAACACTCTGCCCTTTGGGAAGGAGAGCTTATACCATCTAGGCTAGTGCCCATTGGTATAGTAGCTCAAACTTGTTGCCGGTATTTCTTTTACATTTAATAGAGTTGTCATTAATCTACTTTACAGGTGCTATTTTGGTGTCGAGCTGGTCAAACCTGTTAATGAAGGCAGTGAATCCATTCTTAAAACACTTTGGCATCTCTCAGATGCTTTATTGTGCTGCTCTTTAAAGGTAATACTCTTTCTAAAAATTCCTGTTTTCTGTCTATGCTAAAAGTTCAGAGTCTGAATGTTTTTCAATTCTACATTTTACTGCTTGTTCTTTATATAATTGATCATTTATTCATTTCATTCTTTGAAGGTAATGTTTTGAACGCCTAGTTACTCCTTTTGAAAATTCTACTTTGCTGTCTATGCATGTGGTCCACATTCTGAATGCTCTTCATTTGCAGTTTACTGCATTTTCTATCTATGAATGATTGCTGCATTCAAAAATTCAACTGTAGGGATATGACCATGCACATTATTAAAGAAAATGTTTCTGTTTTTCTTGTTGAAACATACAAGGATTAATGAGTGGAACAATGTGAACGATATTTACAAGCTTTCCCCTTTTTTATGGGTACCTTGGGTACGCATCAACTTAGAACTGACAAAGTGCTACGCATTTCATTTTATAAATTTTGTTTTTTCAATTCTGGTAGCAGCTTGCAGTAAACTGTGTTATGTAGGCAATAACGGCCACTAACAGTTTGGAATTCCTCTTTTGATGAGATTTATGGCATTCTCACTGTGAGGGATATCTATTGAGGGTGTGGATTCACACTATTCATGTTTGACGTAAGATTTTAGTTTTCTTAAAAATCAAAAGGGAGTTTTCAATGTGTTTTGCATGGATTATTATTGTCACTAGATTTAATTAATAGGGAATATGTACTGTCCTTGTGTCGAAGTCATTTATTTTCTATTTCTCCAAAATTTGCTTCTGAAATCTTTAGAATACTTCTCTCTGTCAGCGTATCACTTTGCTCATCGGAAAATATTAGTGCTCGATGCCTTCTGTGTTTTATTGTTTTTTTTTTTTTTTTGCTAATAAGAACTGAATGATTATTGGAGTTTGCTTCCCTTCATTTGCTATGCTTATTCTCATTATAACCTACCTTATGATTCATGCAGGCATTGCCAGTTTTTACGTTTGCAAATCAGGCAGGACTTGATATGCTCGAGACAACCTTGGTTGCACTTCAAGACATTACTTTAGAGAAGATATTCGATGATACTGGGAGAAAGACCCTATACTCTGAGTTGCCGCAAATAATGCAGCAGGTTCGGTTTTTTAAATTGAATAAATGAATAGATAAACAAGTAATTTACATAAAGCTTTGTTTTGTTGTTGAGGAGATGGGTGAGAGCTGAATAACCTACAAAACCTTTACAGTATGCTTTGCTTTCCACTTACAAGTGGCCATATTCGGTTCTTATTTAGGTTTTTTACCGGTTTGAAAATGTCGAACTGATCTATTGCTTTCATCTCATTTTCCCCATGATTTTCTGGACAGGGTTTTGCTTGTCTTCAAGGTGGTATCTGCTTGTCAAGTATGGGGAGGCCCGTTTCTTACGAACGAGCAGTTGCTTGGAAGGTGTTGAATGAAGAAGAAAATGCTCACTGCATCTCCTTCATGTTCATCAACTGGTCATTTGTATGATTCCCTGGAAAAAGTGTAGGATGCAAAAGGGTCTTTTGTATGATATTCAGATCAAAAGATAGGATTCAAAAGGGTTTTTCTGTTTTATCTTTTTAATAGACAAAACAAGTCAGATTAGATTGATATCCCTTTTTTTTTTTTTTCAATATGGATAGGATATTTTTAAGCAAAGCTCCATTTTGGATTTGTCCTTGAATTTTTTTGCTCGTTTATGAGAACAGAATTCAACTTTCAAACATCAAACTGTTTGATACTACAAGTTTTTTTAAAAAAACCTGAACTTAAAAAACACCTGAACTCAAAAAACTCTGTTATGCTAGCTTGCATGGTTTGTAACTCTGAAAACTGTTTTATGTTTTCAGATAACTGAAAATAGAATATTGTACAAAAACTATCTTTTATAGTTAAAAATAATTTTATGTTTTCAGAGTTGCAATCCAATCATTCCCTTGACTTTCATTTTCTTAAAATCGAACCACTTTTGAGAAATATAAAAATTGGTTGACAGTTTTTTGAAATTCTAGTTAAGAAAATGTATGTTTTTAATGAACAATCTTTTACAGCTAATGAAAATAGTTTTTTATTTTATAAGTTTCTAAACTGCTTTTCAAAAACTGAACCAAACAAGTCTTTAAGAAATCACTTTTAATTGTAGCATTGCTCAGAGAAAACAAATATGAGTGAGAGCAGATTGATAAGAGCTTGTGATTTAAGTTTTGAGATGTATAGCAGTACTTTGGGGATTTTTTTTTTTTGTTTTTTTTTTTAAAGTTCTAAGGAAAACAAACAATAACCATATGATCATTACTTGTAAAGACAGGACACCTAACTCATCAACAAAACAATATATAGATCAACCACATCCATATGATTCATTTTGTTCATATTAAGATCCATAATTGTTATATCTAATATTAATTTTTTTTTCTTCACTTGTTCTTAAAGAAACAAATAAGGAAGAAAAAAAAGTGAAACAACAATCTAATGAATGCATCAATTTATAAGTCTTCTACATTATTACATGCCAAAAAAAAAAAAAAAAAAAAGATAATAATAAATAAATAAATAAATAAATCAACATTATTACATTACCTTGATAATTAGGTTTTACCAAACTTGTAGCAATGAGTTAAGATCCACACTCTTATGCCGTAGAGTCAGTCATAAAAGATTGTGATCGAAACATACACAAACATGCACTTCGTTAAGTGTTTTAATCACAACCCTTGATTGTTGCTTCCGTACAATACAACTGGAATCTTTCATTATTCCATATCCTCATACTTTTAACTCTCTCACTATTAGTTCAAGTGAATTTTATTACCATCAAGCATAAGTCTGTCTTTTCAATTTCCATCTTTTTTTGTGACAAGTCTGAATGTTCTTGAAAACAAAATGTCAATCAATATATCCCATCAAAATATTTGTTTCTTTTGCAGGGGGAATGAATCAATAATTCATTTCTCTTCCTCAAATAAGAACAAAAGTATACCTTAAAAGGGAAGAATGGTACATAAAGTTCTCACCATCAGATTGATTTATTCCTCTCTTTTTCTAAAAAAAATAAATTAAAAAATAAATAAAGTATACCTTAATTGAAAGAATGTCATTCAAGTCTTCATTTTCAGATTGATATGTTTTGGCTGATCTATTGAGGCTATAATTTTACCACTAAGTTAAATGGTGTCAATTCCTATTGGCTCATTTCATTAAGGGACCACATGAAATGACATTATTTTCTGTGTCTCAAGTAATGAGGCTGAGGAACATTTTAGTGACAAATTTGAGGACAGATTTGTCCTTAATTGTAAATTAAATATTTGTGTTTTATAGTGTTTTTATATAAGGAGACTTTCTCTGCATATTATTTTCTTTTTCACTAATGTCACCTAGCAAAGGAAGGATCATATCCCTATAAATTGTGTATATGTGTGTGTACACAATTATATATAGAGAATAGCATAATTTTTTTTTTTTTTTTTTTTATAAATATTTTTCATTTTATGCTACCTACTAAGAAGATATATCAATATTTAGGGAGAAAAAGTATAGTATATCATGCTTGGTTTAATCAAAAACATTTTTAGGTGAAATCCCATCCATCAAACATTTAATTGTTACATTTGAATAGGGGCCTTCTTCCAAATTTCTCTCCAATAAGCCCTTGTTTTTTTTAAAAAAACATGATTATTATTAGTAATGATGAAACTTTGGATGATGAAAATCTTTCTTGTCTTCATGCTATATATATATAGGTAGGAAAATGACATAAATGTCGGTTTTCGTTACCGACATATGTAGTAAATATAAAGACAAACACTCACACACTCAATTTTGTCTCTATGAGATATTTTAACCTGCGATCTTCTCCTTTAAAAAGTGAAGAAATACCATTAGATTACAAGAGAGAGAGTTTATTCTTATTCATAATTCAATGACAAAGACTTTTTGTTGAATACAGGTAATTGAAGCCCCCCACCCCCACCCAAAAAAAAAAAAATATAATGAAGAAAATTGATTTTTGCACACTTAAGAATGACAGATGATAAAATGTCACAAGCACTACGCTAGCTTTATTTTGCATTCATTTTGAATCACCAAGTCTCTTTCAATTCAAATTCTTCAACACCCAAGTCCTTGGGCTAGCTTTATTACAGATAAGGAATTGAGTGAGATGTTTCATTGCAGCACTCACCTTTCAATCATTTCTTCTCTCTCTAGACCATTTACCCTTCTATTGATCATTAAAGGATTATATATTCTGAAAAATTCAAGTGTAAGTCTTCATTATAACCTATAGTTGAATGGCATTTCTCACCCAATCCAATCAAAAGATCTTTTTCTTTTTAATTCCAATCAAACTCACTTCATCATATCAGATCCCATTTCATAGCTAATGATATTAAACCATCTATATCTATTGATAGATGTATGCACTTTGAAGTGCCTAAAGCTTCTAACATGGGCCCATGATTGTATTATATGGTTACTCAATATTTGACCCTTCTCCAAACTTTGCTCCCTAAATGTGGTGTATGATTGTTGTTCAAATAAAATTTGCCCCATTGGTATGGAGAATATCTTTCAAAGCTCCAATTAAAATTGATTATTAGTTAAAGGCAATTTGTGTGTTAGTTTTCAAAAGCCTTGTGAATGTGCAACACACACACACACACACATATGACATGACCCAAATAGGGATTGATACAATTTTTAGTACAGTTTTGTCTCGATCATTTTGACTCGATCTTGGAGATCACAAGCCCGATAGTTTTACTTTCAGAGACTCATTTCCTTATCGAAAATAGCTCAACAATCCATTACCGACAATTTATGTTTTACTAGCAAGTGATATATGTGATTTTTCGGTCAAATCCCATCGTTTAAAGTTCTGTCTTTCTCATTTTTAGTTCCATAGGAAAATTGTCAGAATTTTTCATAAACTTTGTGTAAGGTCAAAATGGACTTAAATCTTTTTGTATTTATGTTATTGTTGTCATTGATCTTAAGCTTATTTTTTTCGTGATTTTCAAAGATGGAACCAAATTGAGCTATTTTAAAGATTTTATGCCTATTTAAATAATAGTGTTACTATTATTCAACATATTATAATTATTCATGAACAATCGAAAAGTTGTTTCTTTGTTAAATTTTGTGAATTCAGAGTTGTTATATAATAATACATGCTTGACAACCGACTGTTGTCATTATTCACATTGTTGCTAGTGATAAGTCTAATCAGAACATTCTAATAAGATTATATTATCACTCGTAGGTCTTATTTATCAATTCAAGTTTACTCATTAAATTTTGTGTAGAAAAAATTGAGCGCCGGAGAGGATACTTATCCGATAAATCTAATCAGAACATTCTAGTGAGACCTAGTGAGACTTACCAACATTGTGACTAGTTGCAACAGTCTGGAGTCGGGCATTTAAGAATTTTTCCAACTATTTTATATAATTTTCAAAGCATCAATCAAACAATACAACCAGCCCACTGCCAACCCTCTCTCCAGATCAGACCCCATAAAATGTGAGTGGGTTGGTGTTGCATATTCCAATGGATCGCACGTGTAACACAATTATCATTATAATTACAAACAGATATATCAAAACCAATACCCGTTGTCCTAAATCAAAGAAACAGTCATAAAAAATGTCTGTTATGTGATCTACAAAGTGAATCAATGAGTGAAGAAGATGGAAAAGATAGATATTCAACACTTTTTCACCCTCTTGAACCAAAGAAAAAACACACATCTCTTGAGAAAATAAAAAAAATAGTGCAAAAAAAAGGAGCTTTTTTTGAACAGAAAGAACCTTTTGCATGGTCTCCAAGGACCATAATTAAAATCTTGAGGCTTTTAAGATAAAAACACTTCAAATATCAATCCATGCCAGCACAACTTAGCTGGCTTTTGCCTTATAATGTCAGCTAGTTTATATTTATATGTTTAGACTCATCTTTATGTATGGAATCTTCTATGTAAGCACTGTCCATGAGTTCTCATTGAGCGAAAGTGAAAAGGGTTCCTGTCACAGACTCACAACCATCATTGTATTGAGGGGATAGAATGTGTATATATATATCTATATGGAAAAAAAATAAGCATCATCATTGAAAGATTGAATGAAAATTGGGGTCACAAGAAAGGTTTGTGGACAAGCCTGGTTGGAAAAAGCCCCTTCCAAGAATTTTGCTCTTTTGACCTAATTAGTGGATGCATTTAGTGCTTAAGCTCACATGGGCACAGAAGATTAATGTGTCAACTATTTTTGTTGTCACTCTTGTATGCTTTTTTTTTTTTTAATTTTTATTTTTAATTTTTAATTTTTATTTCTTGCTCTAAACACAAAATTTAATAATGGATACGTCTACGTGATTTACCTAAGAACCTTGTTGATTGATACTTACATTTCTAAAGGTATTCTGATATACTGGTTTACTTTTGTCCTCATGACTTTGAATCGTAACTCTCGATATGGCGTTCAATTTTTGAGAATGGCAGAGAGCTGGAGAAAAAAAAAAAAGAAGATATTTCGACTTGAAAATAGTAGATTTACTTCAAGTTCTAGGAGGTCGAGATTGAGCGATTGTGGTACAATTACGTGTTGAGATTTAATGCAGAGATAACTTGATTGATTGAATTTCAACTATGACGGGCTCAATGACACATTTTCAAATTTCAAACTTTAAAGAATTTAATCTACTATAACCCTTCTAAACAAATTCAAATTATATTCTTCTGATTTATAGTCCAACATCATTTTTTATGTGCTTTCTATTTATTTTATGGTAAGACTTTTACCACTTTATTACAACAACTTTAACTTAACCGTTTTGGTAGTGTCACTAGGTTTTCAACTCCTTGAAATTGCACAAAAATTTAACCCTAGAGCTAATGTACTTAATGAGAACACAAAACCCTTTGACCATTGTGTGTTAAAAGTAAAGTAGAGATCTTGAAATGTTAGGTTTAAAGCATAAAGGTATTGTTTTTCTTCAATGTCTAAGCGTTACATGCCCTTTGTGTAGTTTCTTTTACCTTCTTTTTTCATTATGAAGACTATCCGACAATGAGACAAAGAAAATCATCAGATTTTAGTTCACAATGGTCCCCAATAACATGAGAATTTTTTTGGTACCTAGCTCTTAGACCTTACTGACTCACTGTTTGTGTAGGACTATTGAATTGGTCCTATACGTGAAAGAAAAAGCTGGTTCTTGGGGAATTTCTATCCATTTGATGGTATGTAGACAGCTGCCTTGGAAAGAGTGTCTCATGATGATAAGCACCAGATTGTGGAGTTTTAAATGCTAGTAATTACTTTCTAATTTTTGACAAGAAATGTTATCAACGGAATTTTTCTTTAACAAGTTATGATTGGAAAATGTAATACATAATTCATTTGTGTACTTTCATATAATTTTACAAATCGTTTCAATGATTAAAGATAAAAAAAATTATAACGTTTGTTTCTTAAAAGTATTAATTGATATGAGACTTAAGTCACATAAAGTGGAAACGAGAGCGAGAGCGGCAAAATTAAATCACAAATAGTGGTAATAGGAGCGAAAGCGTGTGCAGAGCGTGAGAACGGGAGCGCTTTCGGAGCGTGAGAACGACAACCGTTGAGGAGGATTGTGTCACTTAGGTCGCAACTTATTATTAACTCGAATTATTATTTAATGAAATTTCATACTTATCATTCAATCCAAAAACAACATTCATTATTACTTGGAGCAAACATAGTCGCGACATAAATACTTTCCACATTATTTTTTTTCATAAAAGCTAAGTCGATCAGCTAACTTAGTCGCTCTTTCGAAGTCGTTTTATAATTAAGTCAATTTTCTGCAAAAATGGTTCATTATGTTAAGCGCAATCGCGATTCTCTAGTTTAGCCCTTGATCATGTAAGCTCCACTATAGGACCTACATGATTCAAGAGTTGAGCTTGCACAATTGCAATTGTGCATTTACGTACAAGACCTTGATTCGCGTCATTACTTAGTGTGTTTGACCAGTTAATCGAGATTGTTGTGTAAGTATATACTTAATGTCGGGGGTAGGGGAGAAATAATTGAGACTTTGTAGACATATTTTGAAAATCGTGAGCACAGAAAGTGTACAAGACAAACACTATCTACATAGTGGGGTGAGTCATGGCAGATGATTTCAAAGTCAATTCTGCAGCCATCGAAAATTAGGGAACTTGCACAAGCTCATTTTTGTCAAGCTAGCGGGGATGCTGGATCCCAAGAAGGGGCAATTGTGACTTCCTACATCACTTGGAGAAGTTATTGAGATTTATATCTATAGACACATTTTAAAAATTGAGAGCACGTAACAAAATATGCAAAGCGAATAGGATCTCATAGAGAATGGGTCGTGACAAATGTACCATATACAAATGTAATATTTGACATTATTTGCATTAAGTGATGTTTTTTAAATTAAATTCCAGCTATTAAGTCCACCAAATATACAACGTGGCATCTCTATATGCATAAATGGACTAGAATTTGTTTATAAGAATATATAGAATGAAAGAAGTCAAACAAGCATGGAGAGAATCAAAGAAAAAAACAAAAGTGAAAGAGGCAATTAGAGAAGGGGAAGGATCTGAGTAGGCAAGTAGGGCATGAAGTAGAGTCCAAATTAATGAAAGCAAGTGTATGATCCCAATGCCAAATGAGACACTTTGAGACAGGGAGAACAAAAGGGAAAAGGACATAGAGATAGGAATAACCAAATAGGGGGTGAAAAAGTGCACTCTCTTTCTCTGTAACTTTGTTTTTCTTTTTCTCTCTTCACATGAAAGTGTTACTCAGTATATCATTAACACAGGTAAAAAGGAAGAAATTTTTCTGAGGGTTTTTCAACTTCCACTCAACACAACTTACCATATAGAGATGTGACTCTTCCAGTGCGATCTCCACTGGCTTGAAGGTCAAGATTCCACCAGAGAAAAAGAAAACGTCCTGTGTCTTACTCATGTAATACACACACACCCCCTAACACACGCATGGAAGAGTGAAGTCAGAGAAGCTTTGGTTTTTATCTGCCTCTCTGTTGGTGGCCTGTTTTAGGTTTCATTACTTGTTGTTTTTTGTGGCCTGTCCTTCGCTTCGTGGAGTATATTGCCATCCCTGTGCTCTGATGGTGAATGGTGAGGTCCCTGTTTGACCATTAGGCCCCCTGGGTAATATCTGTTTGCATGTAATGCGCATAGTTGATAGATAAGTCACTTTTACTGTCACTCAAAAACATACATGAAATTTTCACTTCGTACAGCTCCTCGTTCAATCCTTTCATAATCATTAGATCATTTTTAGAATATCCTCCCTTCTTCCACTATGTCCCAAAGAGTAACTAGGACCAATTTAGTCACGTTTTCATATTCTAAAACAGTAAATATTTATTTTGTTTGAGTGCACTATAGCACATTATTGTGTACTGCAGAGGATCCTGACACATATATATATCCTTGTGTGTGTGTATATATATATATATGTGTGTGTGTGTGCGCACTTTTTATCTACATATTTTTCACCTTATCCAAGGAAAACACACACACATTACATGTATGCGTATGTATGTAATACACACACAGAATGTTATACAAGCGAATGGTCAATGACTAAAGGGTCTTTTAAACCTAGGCAAGTCAATTCACTAAAGTTGCTGAAATTATGTGGATATCCATTTGGTCAGCACTAACTGATGATGCCTAAAACACTGTCATTAATAAAAGAGTAATGCTATGATAATGGTGTCTTTATAAAGCTTAATTATTTCTTGGTTATCGTCGTTCAATATGTGATGAAGGTGTGAGCTCACTATGAACACTCTGGACACAACATTTTCTTTAACCTAACTGTCCTCACTTGTTGAATTTTGTGTATTTTTAATGCCGGTTAATTTTGACTTTATACATTCTTTTAGTCCATATATTTTTTTGAATGATGTTTTTTAATTGAAATATGAAATATGAAATCTTTTAGTCCATATTTCAATTGAGAGAGAATGCTAAAAGAGGGAAAATGACATAAGTCTCGGTATTTATACCAATTCATTTAAATACTTTTTAAGAGATTCTAATGAGATTCCAAGGACACAAGTGATTGGAGTGCGAACAAAACCTATCGGCAAGTCTAACAATACTCTAAATGTAGTCGTGGCTGCACTAGGTCAATTATTGAATCGAGTTCCGCTGTGGGACCCATTTGATCATAAGTATGAGCTTGCACAGTCACGACTATAGCACTTCTAGCTAGTGAGTATTTCTGTAGTAAATGCATTGCCATATTACACACATGTATATATGGAAGAAAAATCAGAAGGTAGACGTTTAAGAGAAGGTAATTCATATATAAGCTGCATTTGATCTTATCTACATTTTTACACTCGGTAGTATTACATCATAACATCAAACAAAAGATTTGACTAACACTCAATTAATTATAGTCAAAAGAAAAATAAATTATGTTATGTTTGGGAGCACTTATTGGCGCCTTGAATTGTTAAGAATTTCTTCCGGTTTCAATTTCAAGGCACCGATTCGATGCTGCCAAATGCAACATAAGGAAAAACCTGAAAAGAAAATCATGAAGTAAAAAAGAAAGAAAAAAGAAGAAGAAATATATCAAAACTTGAGACCTAAAACACAAATACTTGGTCTTATAACAGACTCTAGGGTTTTTGCTACATCGCTTGCATATGGTCTAGCCATGGGGTCATCCGCGGTGCATCGCAGGGCAAGATTCATGGTCTCCACAATCCCATTCTGACCGTTGGATGCGTTAATTAACCTGATCGCTGGATCGACCCACGTGTCAAGATGACAATCTGAGTAGCAATACCGAGCCCACTCAACAATGCTCTGGTGCATGCCGAACTCGGCATCCGCCGGACTTTTTCCGGTGAGTAGTTCGATCAAGATGAGCCCAAAGCCATAGATATCACTCTTATCTGTGATGTCTTTTGTGTCTCTACTTTCTGCAATACAAATGTTTTACCTTAGCTTTTAGTCTATGACACTTCACAGTTGCATGGACATGAAGATATATATGTAGTTAATTGCCAATTTATCTATAAAGTTCTAAAATGAACTGGAAATAAATATAATAGCATGGCATAACTAACTGATTTTTTAATATTTTTTTACCTAGTTAAGGTAAAAAGTTACTCTCTCTGTCCCAATATATATGTTCTGTATGGAGAATCTAACTTTTTATGGTAGTAGAATTTTAATAGTTTATTATTGTATTGATAAAAGTGAAATATACTCTTACTAAAAGACAAAATAGTGCTTTGTAATTAGTGCAGTTCTTTAGTTAAAAAGATAATTTGAAGGAATGAGACATGTTTTTTGAGACATCCCAAAATAGAAAGATGGACAACTATTTTGAAATGAAGGAAATATGTAAATGTTTAACACTAAAATATAAAGGATTATGAATATTTCCTAAAAAAATTGGAAAAATATTTCCTAAAAAAAATGGAAAAATATTTCCAAAATCAACATGGAACGTATACATACAAGGAAAAAAACGATGGATAAAGCTTGTCACTCTATGGGGTGCTCAGTAGTTAAAAGTAGAATCATTGTATTCCTTGTCTTTTGAAAACTACCCAAAACTGTATTAGCTTGGTTGTAGGTAACCATGTAATTTCACCAATTTTTACTTTTACCCTTTGTTTATATACAGTAAAAAGGTCGAGTGAAATATTAAAGGCCACTATGTTAAAAGAGAATTTCCAAAGTGAAAATCATAACTAAGTAATCAATGCAAATGAAAACAAACCAATAAACATTGAATTATATTCCTTGTGACATCATGTTGATATCAATTTGGCTACTTTAACTTGTATGATATCATTTGTTATTTAATTATGAATAATTATAAGTAGTTTTAATGCACGGAGTATCAAACTCTTTTTATGTGATTATTATTTATTTTTATAAATTTAGTTAAATGTGTCCGTCTGGTAAATCATGTATCATTACATTTTAATTATATATATTGAAGAATTGAAATTTTATGAGAAAAAGGAAATGGCTAAGAACCACCCTAATGTGAGTATATTAAATAGAGAAATGAGAGTATTTTAATAAGTAGTACAAGTTTGGAACTCCTGTTCTTTTTTTTTTTTTTTTTTTTTTTTTTTTTTTTTTTTTTTTTTTTTAAAAAAAAAGCTGATATCAAACAAAACAGAGTAAGATATTCTTATTGTCGACTAATTTAAAAAGAATTCTTATATACTTTAGTCCCTAAATGAACGCCATATTTAATATTACTTGAGTAAACCAATTACTAAAAGTTAATCTATTTAAAGCAAAACGCTGAGGGTAAATTAGTCAAAGTACCTGGGGCAATGTATGCTGACGAAATGAAGCACTTGGTGTCCGTAAAAACCAGTCCGGGGAGGCACAATCTCAGGCGAGCCACGTCTTCTCCGTCCACAATGATCTTCTCCGTCGAGAGTTCACCGACGACAACACTAGGCGAACAACAAGAATGCAGATAACGAAGAGCTTTAGCAATTCCCATGGCTATTCTTCGCCTTCTTTCCCAACTCAAACCTCTTAGAACTTCACCCAAACTCCTCCCTTCAATGTACTCATACACCAAGAACCCGCCCTTTTCCGACCGGCACATTCCGATGAGCTTAACGATGTTCGGATGCCGAAGCTTCCCTAGTTCAGCCACTTCTGTCCAAAAACTTGCTGTAACTGCATTGATTTCATTCAATTCCTTCACAACAAATTGCATGGTATTCATGGTGGACATTCCTCTGTATAAATCCCCTTTCCTTCCTCTAGAAATGACATTTTCATCACGTTTCGACGACAATATATCAACAATTGTTATTTCTTTCGAAACCCTAGAGTCGAAAAATTGCAACTCCCAAGTCCCGTCTTCATGTTTTTCAACTCTCTTCAACTGCAACTCATTTCGTTTTCGAACAAACACTATCACAAGTGCAGCTAGTACAAGCACCACCAAGGCAGCCAGAAGACAAGCTATGGAGAACCACCAAACCTGGTTTTTTACGCCTTTGCATGGCGGCAAACCACTCGAAGAGATGCGGCTGCAGAGGTCATTGCCAGCGACTGCACTCGAGTTGATAGCGAGGAACGCTCCGGTGGCCGGTAAACCACCATGGAAGTGATTGTGGGAGATATTGACTTCAACAAGTGACTCCACCTTTCCTAAATCAGCCGGAACTTCACCGGATAACTGGTTAACGGACAAATCGAGCTGACCTAAAACCGGCATTTCGGAGAGACTAGTGGGAATTTGGCCAGTGAGCTGATTATGGCTTAGGTCTAAACTCACAAGCTTTTGACACGAAGATAATTCTTCAGGAATGTTGCCGGAGAGCTTGTTTCCGTTTAAATTCAGTTCCATTAGCTCCGATAAGTTCCCATAACTCACCGGAATTGTACCTGAAAAACCATTTTCCGATAAGTCCAAGTTCTCCAACTTATTGCTGCCATATGACTCCGGAAGGTCACCGGAAAACTTGTTTCCTGCCAAATTCAGCATTTGAAGTTCCGGCATATCCCATTTCCGGTTGCTGATTGAGCCGGAGATATTGTTGCCTGAGATATCAAGGAAGTAAACCAGTGGCAGCTTGGTGAGCTCCGGGGACAGCTCACCGGAGAATCGGTTGTTTTGAATACGCACTCGGCGTAAACTCATGCAGTGACTCAGACTCTTGGGAATTTCACCTTGGAGGGAATTGGAGAAGAGGATGAGCTTAAAAAGCTGGCTCGATTCACAAAGTGTTTCGGGAATTTTTCCGGTGAGATTGTTGCCGGAAAGGTCCAATACGGTGAGATTATTTTGTTTTCCAAGATTTTTCGGGATGGCACCGGTTAAATTGTTGGACCATAGTTGGAGGACTTGGAGATGGTGCAAAGAAGCTAAAGCATTAGGAATTTTCCCGGAAAAATTGTTGGAAAACAAATGAAGAATTTCCAACTTCTCCAATTGCATTACAAGTTCCGGGATCTCACCGGACAAGAAATTATCACTGAAATCGAGGGATAATAACTTTGTGAGGCCGAAAATGGATCGAGGAATGGGACCAGTGAGCTTGTTTAAGTAGAGAAAGAGGTTGTGAAGGTTGGTGAGATTACCAAGAGAGTTGGGAATTTCTCCGGTGAGATTGTTGAATACAAGATCAAGATGAGTGAGAGAGGTTAATTCTCCGATTTCCTTCGGAATTCCGCCGGAGAGATTGTTGTATCCCAAGTAAATCCAGTTTAAGCTCTTCATTAGGCCTAATTCTCTTGGGATTTCACCAACCAATTGGTTAGAAGCCAAAGTCAAGACTTGCAAACTTGTGATGTTTGTGATAGACTTTGGAATTCTTCCCACCAAAACATTTCCACCAAGATCAAGGAACTTGAGGCCAGAAAAGAATCCGATTTCCTCAGGGATTTCCCCCGAAAGCATGTTGTTCGAGAGATCCAAGGTTTCGAGCTGTGAAATCGGGGTCTTGGGGATGGAACCGGTTAAATTATTGTTGCTAAGATTGAGATGTCGAAGAGAAAGACATGTTGAGATATGGCTTGGGATTTTTCCAAGGAGTTGATTGCTTGAGAGGTCGATTTTTTCAGTATAGGGCAAAAGGAAAACTGATCCGGGGATTTTCCCGGAAATGTTTTTCCCGGAAAGTTCAATTTTCTTGACGTGGGAGGAGTTGTCACAAACGATACCATTCCATTTACAAAAGGAAACAGAAGGGATCCAAGTAGAGAGAGTGTGCAACGGATCATGGATCGAGGATTTGACGGACAAGAGTAGCTCAGACTCAGTGTCACCACTGCATGAGTTTGACATAAGTAGCACGGACACGAGCACGAACACCAATGTTATTTTGCGTGTTTTAACCATTGCTCCTTCCATGGACATATCGAACGCCCTATACCATCGACTTAAAAAGGCTCTGATATCGAAACAGCTAACAAGCAAGGCTAGGCTCTTCTTCAAGATAGATAGAAAGCATAGAGACTTTCAGCTCATTTTGATCTGTCACCACCAAGAAAGATTGTTGATGTTATGCCTCGGATCCCAAGCTGATCATGAAAAGTCATGCAATAAAGCAAACATAAACACAGGTTTCTATATAGAAATACATATTCATATATTGGATCAAAAAAAAAAAAAAAAATAAATAAATAAAAAAACCTTCAAATCAAGAATTAAGAAGACAATATTTGCATGATTAATATCATGAAACTAATACTTACTTTACTTACCGAAAAAAAAAAGTAGCAATATTTGCATGATAAAGATCATGAAAATAAACTTTATTTACCCAAAAAAGAAAACACAATACTTCCATGATTAAGATCATGAAACTAAAACCTTAAAGTCCTACAATAATGCAAAGTTTCAAAACTAAAGCATGACATATATATCTTGTAATTTTCTCTTTATCTATACGAATATGTTTGTATGATATGAATTATATATGTGTGTTATATAAGAAACAACACTTAAATGAATAGATAAAAAGTCTGTGAACGTACCTAGAAATGATGATTTGGGTTATGAGAGTTTTTTTATAATCATGAAGATTTGGTAATGAGAAAACTTGGATTGAAAGAGAAGTGAAAGAGAAGAGGAGGGGGTAGGGTTTGAGAGTGAGAATTTGAGTGTATAAATAGAGTGAGGGTGAAGGGTGGGAAATGGGGCAGGGAATTGGGTTATAATTACGAAAGTGCCACTTTGGAGTTTTTAAGTGTTTGAATGTGGACCGTTGAAAGGAGAGGAAGGGCAGCTGACAGATGTTGGGAAAAAGAGACTGATTTTGTCGGATATATATTGATAGGAGTATTACATACCAAAATGCTCTTTTGACTGACTTTGGATGAATAATGAAATTTGTGTAACCGTTGAAAAGGTTATAAAGTTATATGAGCATGTGGGATTGCCTTTGCTCTTGTACTTTATTTACCAAAAGCATTACCAACCTCATAATTAATATTTTTATTTTATTTTGAGAGCTGTTATTTGCATTCGGGCAAACTTGGTGTATGCTCTAATTATTAGTTTTTGTGTGAATTGCGCTCCATGGAATGGTTGTGATAGTTTAGTTTTAAAATGATAAAGTGCTATACTTAGAGGCGATACTAAAATTTTTTGAGTGGAAATCCAATTCGGAAAAATCATAGAGACTTGGCCGTTTCGATCAAAATAATTTACTATTTCAAAGTAAAGTACAACAGACTTAATTTTAGGCTCACAGCCACTCATTTGCCAAGAATGAGTTGCATAACGCCTTATGTTTATATTTGCGACTCCTTGTCTATAACTACTGCGGATTTTTGATTGAATTCTCAATTCTCGTAAAAGGTTTGCTGGAAGAACAAGAATGCTCCGCAAACATTCAACCCCCTTCGTGAAAACCGATGGACTATGGGGGAATGAAGATGAGCTCGATGCAATTGAATCCTCATTCCTTATGATCACAAAGATAAAAGGAGAAAAATAAATCATGCTTCTGAATGGAATCAACTGAATTTTCAATACGTTCTAAACTACAATCAGATTGAGAATGTCATCCTGAGCATTCGGGTGTAATAGCATATTCTATCAAATAAAGAAAAATACACATAATGGTCAAGGATGATTTTATATGAAAAATACTCTAAAAAAATCCACTTGCATGTAAAACAATATTCTTTATGTACATCAATGTTCAAGAGATGAGGAGAGTATTTATCTATGTTTGATCGAGAGTCCTTGAATAGGTTGAAAAATAGGTCAAAAATGTCCAAGGACATCTCCTACAATTTTGATAAAAAAATAAAAAATAAAAAGAATTTTAAAATCATCGAAAATGTAGTTTCTTTTTTGGTTCTCGACAAGTGCAACTAGTTGAACTGAGTAGAAGTGGTTGGACTTTGTAGAAGATCCGATCAAAAAAGTTGGAACGATCGCCAATAGAATTCAATCGATTGGACTTTGCAAAATTCCAGACTTTTATTAGAAAAAACTAATCTTGCAATGCTAACCAAACATAAACATAAACATATGCAAAGTGTCACCAATAGTGTAATCGGTCGGATTTTGCCAAATTCCAAATTTTTAGTCAAAAACCCTAATTATGCAATCCTAACCAAACATAAACATATGTAAAAAGTGTCTTCACTCACATACTTGTTTTAAGTGATGTTCTCATCTAATCAAGGTATTTGTGCACTTAACTTGTTGTTCGGCTTTTGAAATTGAGACTCAAAGTAATAACAAAATTACAACTTGATTGGACTCATTTTGGACACATATTGCACCAACAAGAAATTAAGATTCTCATCATTCTTAGGATAGATTATACCTCCCCTGAGGTTTTTGGAACAGGTAGACCATACAACATTTTTTGTTTTGACCTATCCTGAGTTTTAGCGCTTGTGCTCAACGACACCCTTAGCATTTTCTTTCCAGCAGACTTGTTGACCAAATTTTATAAAATGGCAATTTTGTCCATCTTTTGTATGAAAAGACAAAGGATAAATTGCAATGACCTTCCCTCAAGTTTAGAGAAATTATACACGGATCATGTAGATTTTCATATTAACAAATATTTACAATACAATATATTTTGTTAGGCTAATACTGTGATACTATAGATCATCTAATTTTTGTGAATTGTGCAGCGGAAAAAAGATGTGAAAGTTTGTATTAAAAATAGCCTAGATGGGTGGCGAATAGGTTTTACTTGCTCATTTGTCCAATTTTTATTTATTTTAATTTTACAGAAATAAAACTAAAATCAAACCCACAAAGCAAAAATAAAGTGCAAGTAAAGTAAATAAAATTTGAGAGATGATACCAGGATTTTAAGCAAGGAAACTCTGACTGGTGGAAATCAACCAATCGTTATGGGAAAAACCTCGTGGACTATGTTGTTTAAAGCAAAACGATCTACTATGTTTGAAGTAAAGTACACTGAATTTTGACTCAGGCTTACACCCTATCGTTCTACCAAAAACTAATTGCTGACAATCTTTGACTTTACGATTCCCGTCCAACAGCTCTCGACCTCAGGCTTACTCTTGATCTTTGTAAAATGATTACTGGTAGATCAAACAATACTTCACGAATACTTGGACCCCTCAAATCACCCATTTTCTTCAATTTTAAATTTGATGAAGAACAATTAAAATCTTATTTCTCGGAATATCTGAATCTTCAATTATACTCTAATTACGATCAGATAGAGAACACCATTCCTAAATCACTTATGTGTATATGTGTGTGCTTTAAAAATTAAAATCAGAAAATTTAGATTTGATTTTTTGAACAAAAATATCTCTCAAATGCGGCTCTAAAATAAATCAGAATTTTGTATGCAAAAAGCTATAAAACCCTAAGAGAAAAAATATATTTTTATAAACTTTTGAAAACCTAACTGAACTTGGAAAACAAGTCAATTTCATGCATGATCAATATAGCAAAAGTCTGCCAAAACAGACCAGGAAACTAAATTACCAAAATGGTCTGAAGGACATGAACCGGTTCAAGTGGGGCTGAACCGGTTCAAGTTGGCCAGAAAGAATTTTGAGAAAACAACGTTGAAACTTGAACCGGTTCAGGGGGGTTGAACTAGTTCAAGTTAGACAAAATGGAATTTTTTTCTCTAAGGCCTAATTTTGAACCACTCAAGTGCCTCACACACTCACATACCTTTCTAAGGCATTGTTCTCATCATTACGTAGTGTATCAAAGTATGAACACAATCACTTCTTCAATTCTGCTTCTGATCTTGAATATTGACAAATTGAATCAAAAACTTACAACTCAATCGAACTCGTTTTAACAACGAAACATATAGCCTTTCTTCAGGTTGCTTGCATTCGTAAAATATTTGTCTATATTTCATCCAAAATAAATTTTGATCCATGGTCTCATCCTAAATTTTTTGGCCAAAATTCGAGTTGTCCATATTAGGCCCACTCAAATCCCACCCTTAACTAAATCGAGTTTGAATATAGTGTAATAGAGATGTGTGAGTTTGACTCAAAGAATTCCTACTTACTAAAATTGAGTTTGGCTTGTTTGGTTCATTTAGTTATCCACAAACTCAAATTCAAATTTTAGATTAGTATTGATATGATAAATAAGAATTCATTTATAAGCCTAAAGGATCCTAATAATAAGCCATATTTATAAACTCTAATAATCTTATTCACAAACAAAAATTCACACACATAACCAATCGAGTCAATGGTTATTTAAGCTTGACTTGTATAGTAATTTTAAAAAATTATTGAGGTCAACTCATATATAAAGAAGCATAATCTTATCCTTAGTATTTACGATAGTATTACATCTGTTATAACACTACATAATTTATCACTGAACACATACAAGAGTGTCCAAAGAGAATTAATGTAATTTGTAATGAGTCAATCTCCTCTCACTAAATTGTAAGAATTAGGAAGTTAAATGAGTTAAAAATATAAAAATTCCCCTACATGATTTTGTGTTCATAACCAATTGCTAGCTATATCTATATATATATATATATATATATTTTCTTTCGCTGGTAAAGACAACCTAAACCTCACGACCAAGATGAAAAAATTAGTTAACTTTGCCTTTCGAAAAAAACAAAGATGAAAAAAATTAGTTTTACCCTTGAAGGCCGGTTTCGTATATTTATATTTGGTTTATTTACAACTTGGTTTATTTGCAGCTCTATTGAAAAGGAAGGACGTTGATGCTATAAAAAAAGAAATAAATTTAAAAAAATGTTAACTTCTTGTGAATGATGCTTGGTGACAACATATTAATTTTATTATTTACCAAAAAAAAACATATTAATTTTATTTTAAATAATTACTTTTTAAATCTCTACCCTATATACAGGAACAAACAAGAGCTTGGTCATAAGTGTAATTTTAAGTTGACAAGTGAGGGCCACTTGACAGTGGAAAAGGGATGAAACTTAAAAGAGAAAATATTCTTGAACCCCTTTTGTTTGGATGCTTTATATTATTATCTTGGATTCTTCCCCTCATTAGAGAGCCAGAGTTTCTCTCTCTATTTCCCGTATCTCTTGTACATTTCCATAAGTAAGGGATGAGAGAAGAGACTAGCAAGGAAAGGAAAGGAAAGGAAAGGAAAGCAAAAGAAAAGTGTAATGTCTTTATGTTATAGTAGTATATATATACTTTATACACACACTAGCTAGAAGTAATGCTCGTGCGCAACCCGGTCCATATAGAGGGACCCACAATCTCTTTCTCGAAGGAATATACAGCGTATAGTCCTTGTCACAACCGGCATGCTTTCCTCATCTCCATTTTCTAGGGTTTTTCGCTCTCCTTCTTCGCCCCACGCCCACCCCCATGCCCACCCCCATGCCCACTTCTTCCTCCTTTGAAAAAGTTTATATATAGTACTCCTACATAATCCTCCTTTTTTAGTGTTTGCGTGTGAATGCATGT